TTCCTCTTCTTCAACTTTCTTCACCAACTTTCCATCTTTCTTTCTTTCTTCGCCATCTTCACCATCTTCACAAGAAAACCATATGCAAAAAATTACCCAAAATAGCCCTAAATTGCTGAACCCAAAATTGCCTAAAATTGCTGAAAATCATCTTGCTTTTCTTCACCCAATTCACGTACCATCTTCACATGTTCACCCAACTGGTTGCTCCTCTGCTTCACCCTTTTCACCAACTTTTTGGCTTTCTTTCTTTCTTCACCATCTTCATTCTAACCCACAAAATCCTACACCCAAAGTCACCCAAAATCACCCAAAAATGATGAACCCAAAATTGCCCATAGTTGCCAAAAATCATCTTGCTTTTCTTCACTCAATCACAGAATCACCCAACCCAGAATGTATTTGAGCAATTTGTTGTTAATCGTGGATTTTCCTGTTGATTTTGTGTTGATATTGGGTTGTGATAGCTACTGTTAATCACGAATTTTCTTGTTGATTTTGTATTGGCTTTGGGTTGGTGAGATCTGTTGTTAATTGTGGATTTTCTTGTTGATTTTGGGTTGGTGATATTTGTTACTAATTGTTGTTAATTGTTGTTAATTTTGGGTTGTGAAATCTGCTGTGGTATTATGATTGATTTGGATTTTCATACAGATAGTTTTGGTTTTATATTGTTGTAAAAGGATGATGAGGCTTAAGCTGAATTCTAGATAACATGTTGTTGGGATAAGTAGCAAACACTGATGAATGAGCTCTTGTAATTGAAAAGAGAGAATCTAGACCTACATAAAGAGAGTAACTATTTGAAGAATTTGAGCTCTGAAATGGGAAAAGCTCAGAGATCATGAGATGGTTGCTTCAAGTTGGTTGAATTTGAAAATGTGTCTTTTGCAGTATTACTTATTTGGCAATTAAGTTGTGTTAGATAGTTGTTTGCATTTGTGGAGGCTCTTTTTGTCTACTTTTGTAATGGGTCCCTTATGCCAAGCCAGGGCAATCTCCTATGTACTGCAAATGTGAAATGGAATATATGACTTCTTTTTGGTCATGTTAATTGGCAAATATGTCAATCTTTTAAGCATTTTCAGCTATGTATAAATGCAAGATTTACCAAAGTCGGCAAAAGATACATTTTCATTGTAAACATTGCAATGTCATTACAAGTAACCATTTGGTTGTACAGCACATAACAAAAAAACAAGACTTAACCAAAAAAACAAAAGTGCAACAGATTAGAAGCATTGTAATTGACATCTGTTAGTCTCTGTAAACCTTGCTCTATTGCTTGCTTGTACAGGACATGACTTAAAAAAAAATAGAGCAACAAAAAAAAAATAATGCACCAATTCCTCTGTTATCACTATTTTTCCATGCCATATCCTCTGTAAACCAAATACAAAAATACAAAACTAGAAAAAAAAAAAATTGGTCCCACTTGTCTTATTTGGTAGAAAAAAAATTAATAAACAAAGTTAAACCTTTAACTGTTATTACTAACAATCAAAATTAATAGAAATGTGGATGGCATCCAATTAGGGATGATATTGAACAAAAAAGGTGTAGTAGAGGGATGACATTTATATTGTAAGGAAAGTAGAGGGATGACATTGAATGTTTCCTTAGTAAAGGGATGGTAATGAACATTTTTACAAAGTACAAGGACTACAGTTGGCATTAACCCTCTTGGCAAAATAATCAGCGACCATATTCCTTTCCTGATAGAGATGACATGAGAGATCCGCACGCCGGGAAGTTGGTGCATAAAAGTCATGCAATCATCAATCAACACAACGAATGGAACTTATGGTCGTCAGTGTTGAGCAGCATATGAGCAATTTTTGAATCGGTTTCAACAAGAAATTTAGAGTAGCTCCTATTGACAGCCAGCTCCAAGCCATCACGAATTGCCCACAATTCAGCAGCTAGAGAGGAGGTATGGCCAACATTACACACATACCCCAGCATCCATTTCCCTCGGTGATCCCTAAATGCTCCCCCAGCGCCAACTTGAACAACTAGTATATCAATTTAACATTTTTCCTGTCTTTGATAATGTTCATAAAATAAAGGTTAAACCCCCAATTGGGTTCCTCAATTATTGTATGTACTCCCGATTTGGTTTTTAAACTAAAAAATCCATAATTTGGTCCTTATTATTTACTAATGTAGTCCCAAGTTGGTTATTCCATTAAAAAATAGCTAACTTATCTGTTACTTAATAACAAAAAAATCGTTACTTAATGGTCACGTATTACGTTAATAATGAGACATGTCATCTGTTTTTGTACGAAATAACTAACTTGGGGTTAAATTGATAAACGGTAGGAATTAAATCAAGAATTTTTTAGTTTAAGGACCAAATGAGAAGTCCATATAATAATTGAGAGACCAAATTAGAGATTTAACCTAAAATAAACAAAATGTTATGCAACTTGTATCATTAAAGGTTTGCAATGCTCTACTGGCAAGTACCTAAGAGACTTTAAAACGGTCAGTAGGATATGATGGTTCATTGGTTTTATATTGGTTTAAAAGGTATTGATGGCTTCAAGTGGCCTATAAAGTACTAATTTAATTGGTTTAATTAGACTTGGCAAAAATTAGTTGACCCATGAACCCAACTTAAACTTGACCCGTAAAAACGGATTAAGATTTACATATTCTAACCCGTGACTCATTGGTAACCTGTAAATTTGACCTGAACAGGTCATGGGTCACGGGTCACAGACAAGTTAACCCGTGGGTTAATAGGTCGACTCATTTAATTCTTTTTGAAGAACAAAATTATTTTTAAATTTACTAACCTTATTTATTGCTAATAATAATAGTAATAGTTATTTATTACTATTAATAAAAATTATTCCTTTATTAACCAATTAACCCTATTTGTTCCTAATTATGCTAGGTCATCATTCCAGATTCACAACTCCCCATTTGGTCTCCACCTCACTGACTCATTGATTCACCTCCCTCCTTAATCTTAATTTGCAAAACTTTCTCATCTTCATTTTCCATTGGTTCAGTCAAAAATTCCTAGTCCCAATGTCTACTCCACCACACTAGACTTTGCATCTTCCCCTTTCAATCCTTTATATCCCTCACTTATCTCAATCACTTCATTGGCCACTTGTTTTAATGCTTTTTTTCTCTTTAAACATTCATCGAACCTCTCTTGTTCACTCAAGTCAAATCATTTCGTGTTTGAGGTATGGGTCTTTTAGATATATATATATATTTTTTGCAATTTGGATGTTTTTGTATTCAATTTTTAGTTTTAATGTTTGGTTCTAGTTAACTTGATTTTATTTGAAATTCTATTTTATTTATTGAATTTTATCCATTTTCTGTTGATTCTATTCCAGTTGCTTATTGTTTTTTATTCTATTTTGTGATTTTTTTATGTGACCTACAATCTTGCCTCATCTCTCTTTTAGTTTTTGATATTTAGTTTTTTTTCTTGTTCAATGCTTCAAATTAACCTAAAAAAATATCAACCCGCAAGTTAATCCATAACTCATTAAGGTCGGGTTAGGGTTGGCTCTTCTCAACCTGTGTAACCTGTCACCTGTGTTGGCTCAACCCAAACTCGACCCAACCCACCTGTTGACCAGGTCTAGGTTCAATCAACCAAGCTGGTTTGATTTTCAAAATCTTAATCCAAAAGCTCAACCCATTTGCCTGGTTTACAAATAACCCTACCCAAAAATGGGGAGTTCTCGTTGTTAACTAATTAAGTAGAACATGAGAATTGACGTATATTGTTTCACTTAATCTTATGTTGCTAGTAGGAAGATTTATCACCAATAATAATTTGATAGAGTTGAAACTTATTAATTTAAAATTTTTAATTTAAAATTAAAATAAAAAATTTAAATTTCTCTAATATCAAATAACTAACTTTTTAACATAATAAAAAAAAAAGTATGAAAATTTATTGTTAACAAACATTACAAATGAATCATTGATTGAAGAAGGAAAAAAGTTAAAAAAAAAAAAAACTTAATTTACAATCTTTAAGTTTTTTTTTTTTATAATAATTAATGATTTAAAATTACATGGCTTGTAAATATCCCAAATTTTCGGGAATATTTAAGTGTGAGTTAGGGACTAAATTGTGGAAAGATATTGTTTTGGGGCCTCATGTGAATATTTTGAAAGTTGAGGGACTTAAAGAGGGAAAGAATTTGGATAAGCATGGCTTATTTCCTTTCTCCCTTTTCCTCTTTTTCTCCGGCCCGTTTCTGCTCTTGTCTTCCCGCTGCAACCCGAGAGGAAAAAAAAGAAAGGGGGAACCCAGCCATGCTTGAGAAATTGGTGAGAAAGCTTGATTTTCCCTTCTTTTCTTGTTCTAGAACCTGATTTGGAACCCAGAAATCTCCCCCCCTGCAGGAAGCTTCCGGATCTGCTCTGTCCTTCCTCCCCTGTCCGCCGGCTGCTCTTGCTTGTGGGGTGTGATTTGCTCCGGTTTTTGGTAAGAAATAGTGCGAATTCTCCCTTCTCTAGCTTTAATTGCCTTGGGTTTGCCTTAATTGCTCTTATTTCCTTCAATTTTGGGTAGTTCCCGTGAGTTTCTCCCCTGCACTACCGTCGGCTTCTTCCCCCTGTTAGGTCCGGTTCCTTGCTTGTAAATTCTGGTATGTGACAGCCATTTAAGGCTTAAATTGTCCTTTTTGTTTGCTGCCTTGTATGTCCGAATTTTGCTAGAAAAATGGGGAAGAATTTGATAGCTTTAGGACCATGATTAAGCATTAATTCCAGTGGGATTTATGTGATTGAGTGTTAATTGCTTGTTGTGATTTTGGAGAGAAAACCCCGTGAGATTAGCTAGTGTTTTGGCCAATTTGTGAAAGTCGGGGTTACTGTTCACCGGTTACTGTTCACACCCCGAGGGCCAACATTTAACGGGGATTTAAATGATTAGTTTGTGATATGAGAACGAATTTGGAGATGTCTGATCATGTGGAAAGTGATAGAAATAGCATTGTGGTTAGGAGTGATCCTAACGATGATTTCAGCTTGAATTTGTGATAGTCTGTATTAATTCTGAGGTGTTTTGATTAGGTTCCTGATCGTTCTGTCAGTTAGCATTGAGATTGAGTGCTCGGTTTTATGCAAGTGAGGTAAGTAAAATTATGGTAACGCCCTTCGACTTTTCAAGCATGTTTTGATTTGTTTTTGAAATGGTGGCGGGACTAAACCCGTTTTACACGAGCATGACTGATTTTAAGTGAAATGTTTTATGCTTTTCATGAAATTGAGCATGCCTACTTGAAATTTGAGTGACTGTCCTGATGATCTGAAAGTGATTGTGAAATGTGATTTCCCTGTTAACTTCTGCCTGTTTTGTCTCCGATATGGTCGTGTAATCATGACCCCGCTAGTGGGGGAGGTTACAAACGCTAGCACATGTCGACATGTTCCTGATAGAACCGGTTCATTCCCGTAATCCTGCTAGTGGGAGTTAAACACTAGCAATTCCTGTTTGCCTGCCAGTGGGAATTGGCCATGACTAATAGAGGAGACGTCTATTTCGTGCCCGTACTGTATCTGTTTTCGTGATTGTACTTGTTGGCATGCTTTAAGTTTGATAAGGGGCACTCCATATTTACTTACTGAGTTTATCTCATAGTTTTTTCTTGTCCACCATTTCAGGAAGTGAAACCGAGGATGAGGAAACCGAGGATGAGGAAACCACGGGAAGTGACGAGTTAGAAGGCTAGCCATTTTGAGATTGATATAGATTTTAGATATGAATCATGATCTTGTATTTGGAGATTTTATGATATTAGAGTAAATTTTATAATTTGATCTTCAGATTTTGATGGTATCAGAGTGTGAATTTGATAAGTTTCGAGCCTTGTGCATTTGTGGGATCCGTCTCACGAGTGCACGGCGTCTGTCGCGCCTCGAATTTGGGTTTTGGGGCGTGACATGGCTTCAGACCGATTCAAATTTCGCAAAAAGATTGTTACATCATTCTTTGATAAAAGAGGCAAACCGCTTGATAAGAGCCACGGCATTCTCCCCGGTAAGGTCTTCCATATGGAAGCAATGATCCTCACCTTGATTCTCCACAATCTCCAGAGTTTCTCCCCACCCACTTTTCTTCAGCTCCTTGTAGTATCCCTTCCCGACGTCGCATAAATGGTCTTTTTCCGCCACAAACACTAACACCCTCTTGCACCCTAACTTCGCCAGATCCTCTCCGGCCGGTTTTAGTCTGGGATCATTCAATCCGGTATTTGTTGGACACATGTACAGCCACATTTTATCGTCATCCGTACCGCCGAAGTATGGATGAACCAACACCATTCCGACCACCACCACACCGGGTAACCCAATGGACCTGACCCGAACCGCTAATGTATGCGAGATGTTGCCTCCAGCACTCTCGCCGCCGACGAATACACGTGCGAAATCCGCATGATTGTTGAGCCAGGGCTCGGGTCCGAGTCCATTAACATGGGCTGCAACCCACTGGAGAGCAGCCCACGAATCGTCGTAACAAGCGGGTATGGGCCGGTCCGGGAACAATCCATATTCGACCGACACCACAATGGCTTCAGCTTGGGCGGCCAACGAGGTCAGATACTGGTGGTGGGGCCTAGAAAAGGCGGACTCGAAGCAGAATCCGCCGCCGTGGACGTGGAAAAGAACTGGGAGCTTCCTGTTGGGTTCGTCGAGCTTCGGGAGGAAAATGCGGGCAGATATTTCTGGTTCGGTTGAAATCACGACGTCTTTGCAGTAGACCCCTGAAATCAGGTCATCAAACGGCGGGATTTTCTGGGTCGTTCGGAACTTTTCAATCTGACCATCTTTGTAGACCCGAAAGAAGCGGAACTCGTGGGCAATTTCCTTGCCGTTTTGCTCCATTTCAGCTGAGTACCCACTCGATGAAAGCGATTTGGGATTGAAAAGATATTTATATACAGATTTTTGGGATCTTAGAGAAACATGAAAGTGAGAAAGAGGAAGCAGTAATTGGGGAAGAGACCCCATTTTAGATGAGCGACAATAAAATGGCGTTGAGGAGATAATGCGATGGAAAAGTGGCTTTAGGTGACTTGAAAGCAAGGCAAGGTTATGGAGAGATACAGATCGGCAAATAGATGCCATTATTAATTGATTTAGGTCGAAATTTAGGAGGAGGATGAGAGGCTTGAAACGGCAGCGAGGGTTTTAAGAATGGCAAAACGTGAAAACAGGCTAGTTGCTCCCTTTAGTTTGAGGTTATTTGCAGATGGGCCCTGATATTCTTTTCGCTCACAAATGTCATTCTTATATTTTGGCGATCAAGAAATCTGAAAGTAGACGGGACATTTTTTTTTTTTTTTTGGGTTAAAGTGTTCGTGAATTAGTTTAGGTGCATTTTGAGAGTAATTCATTCAAATTCAAGAACAATCTTAAAATAAACCTCTACGTGGTATGTCGAATTGAGGTATATTCTATCTTATTTTGTAATATTGTCAGATAATTTTAATTTGAAAGACCAAATTAATGCTCCCTGCTAATGGCAATTTATAAAAGGGTAGGGATTTAAGAAGTATAAATTGGAAATCACATGGAATTAATTTGGAATAATTTAGAGCAATATTTCAAGATTTTTCTAGAAATATTTTTTGATTTCATTTTAATTGATAAATTTTTTAAACCGTCATTAAAAAAAAATTAAAATCTTTTACACATAACTTTTACCAATATTACTTATATAAAATTTTAATTATTTATTTTTTTACTATAAATATCTAAGATTTAGATAATAAAGATAATTTATAATAACAAGATAATTGATTAAAATTTTAAATAAATATTAAAAAAAAATTAAAATCTTTTACACATAACTTTTACCAATATTACTTATATAAAATTTTAATTATTTATTTTTCTACTATAAATATCTAAGATTTAGATAATAAAGATAATTTATAATAACAAGATAATTGATTAAAATTTTAAATAAATATGATATGTAAGAGTTATATGTAAATAAATTCTAACTTTTTTTAAAAAACTTTCCAAAAATATAAATTATCATTGTACCAAGCACTCACGTATAGTGATAGCAACATACCCTGTGGGGTTAGAAAGTGCTTCCTCATTGCTGTCCCCATTACCCATGGGAATTCCTTCTCCATTTGCCATTCTGTATGATAAAATTAATTTAATTATTTTTATTTTCTTATTTTAAAACAAAATGTATTAAAAAGTTAGGTTAAGATCAAAAAACTGAAAAAAGTGTTGTGTTTGGGTTTGATGATTTAAAGTAATTGAATTTTAACATTATACTAAATTAAAAATGAGTAATGGTTATGACCTATAACTATCGGTTAAATACTTCAACTAAATTGTATTTCAATAATTGTTTTTATATTTCATGAAAAACACGGATCTGCGATAAAAATTCTTCGTAAAGGAAAAAATATCTTTTACCTTGCCTCATAGTAAGGAATATTCTTCTCTAGCTTCCTTTTAGGAGAAATTACCACCTCTACATGACTAAGGAATCAGTGGGGAGTAATTCAACCAAAGCTTCAATTATATTATCATTTTATCTTCTTCTTCTTTTTAATAATTAGGGTGTTCCTGAGTTAGTTTTGACATATATTGAAATTATTTTTTTTCAATTTGATTAAATACAAATTATCTATACTAAGATTAAAAATTTTACAAAAAAATTACTTCCTTATTAATCACCCAAAAACATCCAACGTTGATATTATCACTTTCTTATGGCCAGCCAAAAACTGATATATCTTTACAATCGTCAAAGTAGTCGCAATTATATCGACGGCCCAAAAAAAAAAAAAGAATCACTATTATATCATTAAACAACAATATTGTAAAAATTAAGAGTAGCCCTTTTTTAAGTCAAATGATCTGTAAATACTACAACTATAAATCTTTATTAAAGCTACTAAACACATCTTGGTAGCTGTTATATAATTTATTACTTTATAATAATTTCATGCTGTGGCAGTGTAGACCTCATCGTTTAAGTAACAGTAATGTTATAATTATAATATTATAAAATTAATATAATTATGACATAATATTAATGAGTTATAAGTGTGATGTGTTATAAAAGTAAATATATATTACATTACACATGAATTTTAAGTAAAAATAATTAATTATATGGTAATAATATATTATATTATAAAATTTTAATATCACATAAAATTATAATTATATTATTTTTGTTACAAATAATGATAAATGAGACTATAATTTAAGATTAAAATATAAGACTAATAATATGGTTTACTTTATATTATTTAAAATATTAAAAAGTAGATTTTATATTATTTAATAATTAATTTTTTATTTTTTTAAA